ACTTGCCTGGCTGGTACCAAAGGTAAAGTGTTGTCTGCTAATACTTGAAAGGGTGAAACACTATTCCAATTTAAACGTTTTGAAATAGCCATAATTGCATGTTGCCTTTGGCTGACAGAATGCTTTGGAGAGAGGAATTTGCATGACTCAAAGGGACATGGGATGTCACTTTTTAATTTGAACACAAGCCCAGACTTTTAGTAACTGAATTTAAAACTTTTTGTCAGCCGCAGAGACCCTGTGAAGACGGAGAGATTCCTTGTCAACAGCCCCTGCTGAGTGAGTATTGCAGTTATGACGAGCATCTATGGACAGTGGGGCCATAGATTCACTCTTTCTGCAGCTGTCAAGGCAATTAAAACAGCAGCTGATCATTAAACATGTCCTGCAGGTATATAGTCATACAACATGTACTGCAGTTACACAAGGCAGCTCCATTTCCTTTCCATACCTGCTGTACACAGAGACCTGGGCAATCTCGTGTTGAATTTTCTGTGCTTGTTAACTAGAAACTAGCACTTTTTCCTTAAAAATAACTTAAAAGGCTTTTTAGACCTTAATTCTTCCTGTTCTGCCCCACTCATTTGGCCATGGCAACAGGAGATTCAACTGTGCCTTCATTATAAACACACTTTTCATCATTTCAGAAGTATTTTAATCACAGCTCTGGCTGTAAGGTCAGATGTGAACCTGTATTTGTTTGTGCTGAAGATCAAACCTGATATTTAATGCACAGAATTAATGCCTGAGTAATTTTAATTTTTTTCCTTTGCAGTATCAGCAAGGGAACTGACAGGTGAAGTATTCCTACTGTTCTAGGATTAACACTAAAAAAAAAAATCCCTTGTAGCTCTTGAACGATGCAATTTTAATTGTATATGCAGATTTCAGTTTGTCACAAGAGGGCAGTAAATGAACATTCATTCTGGAGGAAGATTTTTTAAAAACTTAAAATATCCCTTTAAGGAAATGAAAGTTTATCATTAAATAAGACATTTAAGTACTGACTTAAATAGTTTCCCCAGTTTTAAAATGCCACACTTTGATTTGTGGGGCATCTATTAAGCTGTAATTTGTCTTTACTCTTTGAGCAGCTCAATCTGCAATCCTGCCTACTTAATGTCTTGGGTGAATAAAATATCTTACTGCTAGGTCCTGCTTCTTTTACTTAATTCAGGAGTTACTCTTAGTGCTGTGCCACCATGAGCTGGGATAAGGTGCCTTGTGTTAGGGCAGTAATACTCATGCAGAAGAGACATCAGTAAAAGCAATTCTTTATGTTGAGCCTAGTAACCTTTGTGTACTAGATTCCTTCTGGCTGGTTAGCACGTCTCATCTGGATTGGGATTTTTGTGTGTGTGTTAAATATCTTCTGCTGATAAAGAATTCAAACCCAAGAACATAGGTAGATAAGGATCTTTGTGTAGCTCTTTCACTGCAATCTGATGACTGAAAAGTTACACATCTGAAAAACTACTGTTTCTTCAGAGCCAGCAGCTGGCCCTGCCCTGTCCTCTGACAGTCATGACAACTGCAGCTCTGTTCTTCCAGGTAGTCACGGTTGTTCCTCCACTCCCCCATGCACAGCAGTCACAGATACTAAACTGGTGTCAGGTCATTGCAGTAGACAGTTATCCTAGGATTAAAGGGTTCACAGTCTTTTGGTGCCACTTCCAGGGCCAAGTCACTCTGAAGACCCACAAAAGGGCCATCCCCTTTCCCATGCATCCGTGTCCCACAGCTGTCATCTTCTGTACCATGCCCAAGCCAGACTTTCCCATTGCAGTGTGTCAGAGCTGAAACACTGTAGTCCAAAACACATTTGAAATACAAATGCCCTGCCAAATGAACATGTTTGATTTACATCTTGCAGATGAAGCAAAACAAGACAAAACTGACCAAGATGAATGTAGTGTGTGGATGTGTCAGGTGCAAACCTTTCTTGCAACTCAGCTCTTCCCTGCTTACCAGCATAGGAATGTGCTGAGGGAAAAAATGGAAGAACATCGAAAGCAGGAGGCTGAATTGGCTGAGCTGAGAAAGATCAGGGATGAGGAGCTGGCAAAGTAAGTGTTGAATCTTTTCTTGACGTACTGTTATCTCTTATCTTCTGCTAACAAAATTACTGAAAAGAAGTGTGCTTAAGGAAGTTGTATAGCATATGGTACCTGGAGAACAAACTCAGCCAGGTATGACTAGCAACACACAGAATAGAACTCATGTGCCTTCTGTGACTGTCTGGAGTAACAAATCAGGTCAGAACTCTTAACTCTGATATTCCTGGCAATTGGGCCCTGCTCAGTTAGGGCAGTTAAGACATATTTGGACTTCCAGTGGTAATTAGACTTTCTGCTTCTTTCTGCTGTGACAGGACATACTGCTCACACTGTGACTAGAGCTGGAGTTGCTTAGCCACTATAAATCTCTCCTCCCCTCTTGCAGTACATTAAATTCAAACTTTGTTCACTCAGAGTTATTGCTGAAAGAGAAGCAGAAGAGGCAAAAAGGCGAGAAGCAGCTGCAGCAGAAAGAGCACTTGCCTCCAAGAGTGCAGAGTTACAGGAGCCTGACACACGGGCAGCATCCTCACGGAAGGAAAAGGGACACAGGACAGCACCCACTCAGAAGAAAAAAGAGGCACAGAAGGCAGCAGCCTCTCAGAAGAAGAAAGAGGCACACAAGGCAGTACCTGCAGCTGGTACCAAGGTGCCTACTGGCAAAAAGAAAAATAAATCCTCTGGTGAGAACTACTCAAGCTTCCAGCAAGTACTGTTTAAATAAGGAAAAGAACCACAGTTGTAGGAAGCTGTCAGAATGATAAACCTTTATGCAGAAGAATTGATGTTTTAGAGGGAAACACTCTGCTTTGGCAGCAGGGTGCATTGTAGTAAGCTAACAGAAAGTTACAATCATGCAAATGAACACAGGGAAACAAGAAGATGCCCTTAAAAGTGTAACAATTATTAGCTTTATTTTCCAGTAAAATATTCACATAACATGTCAGAATGGAATGGTACAGATGAATTCAGCCTGGTTTTTAATTAGTTTGCACATAAACATTTTTAAATTTTAAAAATTTTATGGTCAGAGTGTACAGATTTTAGTAGAAATTTTGATTCTTACAAAGCAATTATTGCTTTACTATTGTCATTATTCCAGTCAATAATATGACTAAAAACTTTTCATGTTGAACAGGTGCCTGACATTGACATCTTCAATACATCAGCCCTTTGCAGATCAATCCAAGAAGAAAATGTTATTAAATTGTGTTGCACAAAGTTTCTTCACTTCTTCTGTTAAAAAAAAAAAAAAAGAAGATACTTCAATATGATATTTTACAGAAACCTCCTCAAGAAAAACCTGGGGATTGCCATGGAGAATATTTCAGTTCAAACAGGAAACAAACCCCTGTGAGTTTCTAATGTAGAAATACACTGAATGTGACTCTGACTTTAGTAAGAGAAAGTCACATCAAGTATGATGTCTCACAGTTTGAAAGGTGAGTTGTGTTCTCCTAGTGCCTGAAGTGTAAATCATGGGCCACTCATCTTTTACACTGCAACAGCAGCAGACTTGGCTTCAGTGTAAGGAAGTATATTATAATCCCTTTTCCAGAGGAAGGAGGAATTAGGGTAGTTTCTTCCAATAAACTTGACTTTCTGCTATTTGGCAGACAACACTTTCTAAGTTTATCAGGCACAGAAACTCTCACTGACTCTTTCTGTGTGGCAGGTTTGGTGCTGAGAGACAATTACACAAAGACTTCTATGTCATGCAACTCATTCCTCTTTTTAAAATGTAGGTGTAGGCTCTGGTCCTGGAAAAGTATTAATTCTTTCCCGTTATCTACGTGAGCTCATTGCTCCTGTTAAAACACAGAGCCCTTAGGTTACTGCAAGCAACATTCAAACAGACTTTAAGAGAAATGGCAATTTAAAAGCTTCTTGCACCTCAATGTTAATTCATACTCGTAGTGATACAGTAAATTATTCTCAAAACCTCATTAGAAGCACAACAGCAATGGGATGAGGATCACTGACAGGACAGGCATAATGTGTAAGTAACCTACCCCTGGATCACTGACAAATAAAACCTAACTCAGATGTAAATATGTTCATCTCTCACCTATAATACACTTTATTAATTACTCCTAAACTAAGCTCACAGAGCTCTCCTCTGTTATTTGAAGGAGGAAGAATGAGTGATTAATAATTAAGACTGCCTGCTGAATATTGATGCTGTTCTTTCACAGCTGGTAGAAAGCAGACTAAAGCCTTAGGCAAACTTACCTGGTTTATCACAGATCAATCCCCCTCTAGATTTCTCATGAGATGGATTTTATTACTTCTCTAGGGACGTACATTTTAGTAGTAACATTATTTAAAGGTGATGAAAAACAATCCTTACCATTAACTTCGATCAGATTTACATTTTTTTGATTCAAAATAACATACAGTTCTCTCTGGTCAGACTTTTTCCCAACTACCCAGTAATCACTCATGGCCTTCACAATAATTTCCTCATCTTCATCAACTCTGAAAGAAGATTTAGAAAGTAAAGGAAGTGGCAGCAAGTTCATCTTCAACAACTTTATCTGTAATCATTAGGACAGCTCAATGTCACACGTTGTTTTGGTTGTGCAGTAGCAAAGAGATTCTAACCAGTTCTAACTCGGGCGTTGCTCAGCAGGCCAGGTCAAAGGCTTCAGAAATGGCTGCTTAGGACAGTTACATCCAAATGAGTAAATCAGTCATTTTGTCCATCAGCCAAACACCCCAGTGCTCTGAAGAAAACACCTCTCCTGCACACTGGTCAGGACACACTTCACAGTGACCCAACACGGAAAACTGGAAGTGATTTGGTGATACTAAGCTTTCCCAGAATTAGGTGCTAAACCCAGAACTAAACCATGCTCAACAACCAGACATATTGTAACTGGCATATTGTAGCTCACAGTAACCCAGTACTTCCATAATATGATGAAATATTCTTTTCTGATTTATAGAAAAATGAAACCCTTGTCCTTAAGCAGAGTGGGAAAATTGCTGGTTGCTAATTCAAGTTACAGGCACCACAATCATTCAGCATTTTCATGTTCCTCATTAACTCCTCATTGACAGAGGGTCTGTCCCAGCTTGAAGGATGATACCCATTGACCAGAAGCCACTTATCTTCTCTATCAGCAGGACTGCAGTAACTGCAAGGTTTGCATTTCATCCATTGTCTCACCCCTAGAAGCAATAGCTGTGTCAGGGGTGGGTATGACACAGGTAGAGGTTTCCCTGTCCTTCATACTACTTATCCAGATGAGACAGACTTTAGTGCCTCCCATCCCATTTGTTGTGACTATTCTGAAGCCTCCAGTAGATCAGATATTTTATTGGATAGAGGCCTTGGCCCTCTTTTAAGTGATTTTTTAAAAGGGCACCAGAAGTTTTGTTGAAGACAGACTATTCTACACCAACCCAAAATACCAAACATGACCCATGTTACAGCATTTATCTCAGAGCTAGAAGTCAGCCATCAACAAAAACACTTGAAAGCTTCACTCACTTGAAAAAAATCTCCTTGCCAGTAGGAGTTACAGACTATTTAATAGTTAAGCATTACCTGGAGAAGTCACTGTTGATGTCACCGAGAATCTTCATGAGGTCAGGGTGAACAGATGCAAGTGATACACTGGGTGTTTTCCTCATGTGAATGGTACTTTTCTCGGCCAGGTTCATGTGATTGAAATAGATAAACTTAAACTGAGGTTCCTTCTCAGCCCTGGGAAGATTGAAAAGGAAAAAAAAGTGATTTGTAAATGGTGACACGTCTGTGAGTACAGACTGCACAGAGAACAGGGAAGGAGCCAGTGCAAAGCTCACTCAGCCTGAAGTCATTTCCACAGTGAAGAGACCCAAGTATTTTAAGGCTCATGGGATCAAACTTAATTTTAACACACTTTAAGAAAACAAAACAAAACACAAACAAGCCTGCAGAACCAACCAGTGTTTCCCTTCTGCTGCTTAGGCTGCCAGAAAATAGACACAGGGGAGTCTAAAGGCCTTGTCCCACTTCACAGTAGCTGTTCATTTGCATTTTTCTAATGAGCTGTTTTTTCTCTGTCCCCATTTTGTTCCCTTGCTGCTTTCCCCTATGCCAGCCCAATCTGATTTGAATAGATGCTCAGCCTTTAATTTGATCAGTAAGTCATCTTCCATTCATGTCTCTGTTATTTGTTACAACCAAGAGAACAAACTCTTCCTTGATCCAGTCAATTAGATTTGCCCCATCATTTGTGTGGAACAAGCAAGAGGCTATTTCCAAATTCCTGCCTTGGCAGTCTCCCTCCATGTCCTCCTTTATGCAGTTAATATAAAACCTGTCACTTAGAGCTGTAGTTTTGGTACAAGTCACAACAAACTGAGGCTGGCAAAAACTGGCCACAGCAATTGGTACTTGGGGCAATGAATTATTTAGGACCAGGGAGATACTGTGATGACACCACTCACCTTAGCAAACAACCAGATACCCTGCTCTGTGTCACCCACATGCATTAGTGTCAAGAAACTGTATCATGTTTTCAGGACACCATGGCATTAAACTTTTAAAGAGTTAAAGCTGCCAATGCCAGTCCCAGATGACATTTAAAAACCCCAAGTTTAATGATTTAGTAGATTGGCACGAGTTCAAGTACATCCTATTCTATCCTGTGCGATTTTGCTGATTTGGGCTGCTACCACTACCTGAGTTCACTCACACACTCATCTTTGCTTGAATTCCTGCTTTGTTGCCACATGTGATACTGGTTTTGCTAATTTAATAGAATTTGATGGCAGCTGTAGTTCTAAGTGACTTCACTTATTTTCCAAAGCATCCACATCCTTTTTCATTTGGCTGGTTTTTGCCCCTCAAGTAGTTAACTTAGTCCTGCAAAATGTTAAAAATAAGACATTCTTTCCTCACCTACCATATGTGGCAATGCTTCTAGCAGCAGTAATTGTGGAAAAGGCCTCAGCTATAAAGCTTGCACTGTAGCTAAATAACACACTCACTAAAATCCATGTTTCAAACTGGTAAACAGAAGTTGTTCTGGTATCTAGACCTTCATTTTGCTTGTGGATTTGTAACTGAGTGAAGAGTTACCCTCTCTGTCCAAGCTGAAATCACTTGTGCCTAAGGCAATACTCAGAGCCAGCAGTCAGTGTCCACTTGATGTGAAAAATGCAGTTCTTTGAATATGACACAGAAGAGCAGCCTGGGACAGCAGAAGTTGCAGGAAATCAGCACGAAGGAGGATGTGAGCAAAGACACTCTGAAACGTTCTACTAGCACAAAGGCAATTTTTGAACATTATGAGATTCTGTTTTCCTCAAGAAAAGCTAAAAAGTATGAACTGAAGTTAAGATTTTGAGCGAACTGCTGCTTCTCTAGCTCAGCATGGGGGACAGTGTCAGAAGACTTATCAACTGGTTTCAGTTCACATATGAAAGTTCCCCCTCTTGCACCTGAACAATTTGCTGCCAGCTGGGGGTGAGGAGGCAGAGTATCAATTGGTAATAGTCATATTTGTCTTTTCTCTGCAACAATTATGCACACAGAGGAAAAAGATTTCAGCCACACAATAAACATTCACTCCTGAATTAGTAACATCTCTGTTGTTACTTCAGGGAGACCTAAATATGCCCCAATGTGCACTTTATAAATACTTCAGGTGCAGAAAATGTAGACAGATACTGTTTGAAGCACAGAGTTAACTCAATGCTTTCAAAAATCAGGCTGATGTTGCTATTATTTAAGCAGTTCATGAAACCTAATTTTTCACCAGCTAATGAGGGAATGCAACAGGGAGAGAAGTGTGGTACAAACCCTGATATTCTCTTGTTGATGTTGTACTGTTCACATATGTCTGATGCCAACATGGTGAGCTGAGGCCCAACAATGCTGTCCAGCTTGCGGCAGAACTCCAGTGTGGGCGGAATTGAAGCTGTGTTAGGAAAAGAAAGGGAGAGATGAGATCTCTGCTGCCCACAGCTGAAGGTACAGTTTCTCTAATTGTTTTCTTTAAACAGCAGTGAGAGTCCAGGGATAGATTTCTCAATTAAAACCTTACAGGTGATTTTCAAAGTGTTCAAAGCCAGGTTGGAGAAAGCCTTGAGCAACCTGGTCTAGTAGGGAGGTGTCCCTGCCCAGGGCAGGGGGTTGGGACTGGGTGATCTGTAGGGTCCATTCCAACCCCTAAAATTGTATCATTCTATGATTTTGAAAGTGGCTAAATGAAGCAGTATTTAGTTACTTTATTGTGTAAGTTGAATTACTTATAGCACTGGAACAAAGATAAAACAATCCCATGCAGCGCTCCAGGCT